GGGAAAGAGACAAAGCATGTTGCTTTTAACGTCCTTGGAAACCTGTATGGACATTTCTTAGATGTGACAGAGAATCACTTGGGTTCCCAATAATTTTCTTCACATCTGTTGATTTCCATCTCTCTGGAAGAGATTCTAAGAACAGATCCATCTTTGAATCTGCAGAGAAAGTGATGTCCTGGAGAGAGGCATCTTCTTCCTGGACTTAGCCTCTTCCATTGAGTGATGCAGACCCTCAGTTAGAGTAACTGTTCTGAAAGGGTGTGGGACCATCCTTAGCTGGTCTGTATGGGAGTCTGTGAACAGAATTGCATAGACTTCAATTAGAGAATGGAAATTAACTTTTCACTTTGTAACACGATTTTGTAGGCTCACAGGTTGCAGTGGATTGCAATACAACAGGTGCTGATGGTTATGAGGTGTTTTGGACAGGCAACGGTGTGTATATTGATGTATTTTATGTGGGCAGAATTTTTGCAAGTCCTTATGAGTAAGTATATTTTCAGATTAGAAAATACTCTGTTGGCAATCAACATGGAACTTTCTCCCTTTTACATTAAAATATTTAGCAACAATTTTTGTTTGCTTGAATAACTTTTAAAAAAAAAGACTCTAATGCTTGCCTCTTCCAATTCATTTCTGCTTTGAAGTAGAAACTTGAAACATATTAGAGACATGGACTTTACATGTGATTGTACTCTTTTTGGTCACTGTAAAACCTGTCTTAATTTCCAGCCTTGGAAAAAGGTGTTTTGTAGACTTACAGTCTCAAGATTGTAATATGGTTTCTACTGAGTAGGCTGTGGCCTGGTAGAGACCTCTTTCAGTTGGATCAATCATGCCCAGGCATATGATCCTCAGACTGTCTCTTTCTTCTGCGTTCTCCTTCCCTTTCACATCTGCCTCTCTGAAAAGTTGCAAGAGGTCAAACCTGTGCTTTAGAGGAGAAATTGAGACTTCCAGGTTTAAGAGCCTTGAGTTAGAGAACTGTAATTGAGATCAGCTGAAGAGCTAATGGAAGATTTTGTTGAGGACGTTTGTACTGAAGCTTAGTGAGGTGAGAGGAGAAAAGGGAGATGGATTTCCAGTGATGAGCTGGGAGGGAAATGGATTTGGACTGAGTGAAGCATGAGAAGGGCAGCTAGGAGCTAAGATGAGGGTGAAAAGCAGTTTAAATGGAGTTAGGAGAGAAGAAGTTAGACCAGACTTGAAAAGGCAACTAAAATTGGAGCAGAAGGCTATCTGAAAGTTTCTTAGATATTACAGTTCTTTAGAAATTTTGGGTTTTTTTTTTGTCAGCCCTCATCTCATGGCGGTGCTATGAAGAAAAATTGTGATAATTTTTTAAAATTCTCAAACACTGTGTGAGAAACTGATGAAGAAATGAGAATAACTTCAAAGTATGAATATAGTTGTGAGAAATAATTCCTCATCATAAACCAAAGGAGAAAATAAAATGCTGAATCCTTTGAGTGCTCACCAAGAATAAACCCTATACAAAAGTAATATCTTGTACTGTCATAAAGAATTGTAATGTCATAAGCAATTGGGTCATAATACAGAGACATGCGGTCACTGAATTGATATTATAAAAGCAATGTTATTTTTTGTACTTCTTAGCACTTAAATGGTTATCTTTGTAACCATTAGTCATTTGCATTAGTGATGTTGATTCATTCATTCCTTGTTACAGTGTTCAAATTACTGTAATTTTTTTGCTCAGAAAGTGATTTGTGTGTTCCTATGTATGCCCTTTCTGATATATTTCAAGCTTTTTTTTTTTCCATTTTAAATGGTAACTAGAACAAGTTTTCAGAAAAGAGTAGTGCTTGGCTAAGTAGACTAGTTAGTTAATTTTGCATTTGAGATCTACGGTTAACAAGGTAGCCCTCGTTTTGCTGGTGGTTAAAAGGTTGTTTAGTTCACACATCGGTCACACATCATGGTACACATGACTGAGTGTGCAGCACAATGAGCATTTTTGTGACCTTGTACAGCGTGTGGGGGATAACCCATGTCTCTTAATGGTGCAGCCTGACATTTTAGCTGTTTCAAGTCTGTTTTAATCCATGAGGGTGAAGGAGCAGTTTAGACTCCACTCTCTGCAGCTGGAAACATGCTGTGAGTTGGTGTTTGCTGCTGGTCACCACCTTTGGTATCTCACCTGTTCCAGAGCTGCTTACCACAAGATGACGCCCTTGTACCAGGGCCTCTTTCTGTGTCATATCACACTGTGGAATTCCTCTCTCTCTACCTACTCTTACAGGTGCTGAGAAGCCTGTGACAAGGGTTTGCTTAGGTTTGTAAGCTATATTTTTGTACTTCACCCTATAGAAATCTTATATTCTTTCGGGGAAACACAGCTCCAGATAAGATAACATCTTGGTGTTTTCTAACGTCTATGCTAAATGCCAATAAGAGGCCCTACTGTCATTTGGGTTTCCTTCATATAATGTAATTGCTCATCTGTTCTGAAGCATGGTTGATGTTTGCAGATGGAAACGACCATTGCTGTGCTGCAGCTGTACGGGATGAAGCCATTCCAGAAAGGGTTGTGGTTTTATGGCTCTGTTTGTCACCTTTTGGACAGGGAGGAAACTTATTACGATGGACGCCCTATGTATTCTGTGAAGCTAATAATTTCAGAAGTGAATAGTGAAGATTATGAGCAACCGTTTGTCTGTCAAGCTTCAAATGCCTTTGGACAGGTTGCATCGTATATTATATTAAAACACAGAGGTAAGAAATATTGTTATTTTTGAGGCCTGTGTTTGTCTTGACTTCCCCAGAAGGGATTTTGATACCAAATGCTCATATGTCAAGTTCATGGAAGTCAGATAGATTACAATTTGCTGTATGTATGCATGTACCTGTGCACAGGGGAGGAGTCACTGTAGCACTGCATTTATCATTATTAAAATAATAGATGGAAGTGAAAAATATGATACTCAAATTTGTACTACATTTATGTAAAAGATCAAGTTTGGACAAATTTAGCATTAAAAATAATCTTCCTATATTTTTGTGCAGTTCCTGATATACGAAGGTGGCTGACTGGAGGGCTTGTCTCTTTGTTAATTTTAACATTTATTACATTAATAATCTACAAGATTTTCAAGATTGACTTGGTGCTTTGGTACCGTAATTCTGTCTGTGCCTTTGCAAGTGAGGAAGGTATGTGAGTGTGACCAGGTATGTCAGTGTAACTAGTCTATTGATTTTTTTTTTTTTCCACTTGCTGTTACTTCTAAGCAATAATGTGATTATTTAGTAGAATGTATGTGGAATTTCCTTAAGGAACTTTTAGATATGCATAAAGACATTCTTTGGCATATTTTTTCAGTCATATTTGTAAAATACATAATCATCATTGAGTTAATAAATGCTGTATAGTATTGAAGGCTGTCATGGTGAGATTAGGTAAAAATAAACTCCAGGTTTTCCCCCAAATCACATGTTGCTTTTTGCTTTTCTATTAAAAAAGACTACTTTTTCTGTAGTTTCTTTACATGTAGATTTAGGGTCACTCTGCTGATGATCAGTAGGTGTCAGCAGAGCTACATCCTGTAAACTAGCTGTTTAAAGACGTGCTTTAAATATTTTTATTGAAAAATCAGACTTTCATTTTCTCAGAGATTAATTTTGGTGTGGTTTTTGGTTTTTCCTCTCAACTTCTCTCTTTTACCCAACACTTTCCTTCTGAATTCTGTCACTTATGTTGGTTACACCCCAAAGAGAAAAAAATTGTTACTAGTTCTCTATTCTGTGATTCTTCTTATGTGCTTTTATTGCTGTGGTGTAGACAAGTACATTGGACAGGTGTGGGAAAAATGGGAATAAAAGTACAATAGAGACTTTGACAGCTCTCAGACTATCTGAAGTTCCCCATAGCTTTAAAGTATTGGATTAAATTAAAAGGATTAAATTAAAGGATTACATGCATTGAGATAGTTAACATTTATTCATGGCTGTTCTGAATGCTCTCACAGAAGAGTAATTTCAGCTCCTGGTTAAAAGTTCAGTTTTCCCAGAACACTTTAATAGAGTTCTAATGAAAAAAAAAATCACATAAACTATGTTTTGCAGTTTGTTGAGCTAAAGTTAACTAGTTGAGCTAAATCTGATTTTGGTTCAGTTTCTTCATTTCTGTTTGTTATGCAATTTTGACTGAAAACCTCAGCTGCCTTCTGGCCTTTTCTTCTACCTGCCTTTCCCTCACAGAATTATTACCTGAAAGAATTGCCATTTTCCACCCTCTCTCGTGGTTAGTCAGAAGTGGAGATAACTGCTGTTGACTTTGTTTCAGGAGAAGTGGTGAAGAAAGTCCTGCAAGAGGACATTTCCTTAATGTCTTGGCACCTCTGTGGTTGAGGGCTCCTTCCTGGAGGTTCCAGGTCCTGCATCCAGCTCACTTACTGGCACATCCATTCCCATAAAGGGGAAAAAAGATTAGATTCTGTGGCTCATCATCTTTCATTTGATTTGTAGTGTTTTAGTACTTTGATGTTACAGATAGGTGAATCAGCCCCCTATTACTATTTTAAAGCAGTCCAAAATGACTTGGTGCTTTGCAATAAAGACATGTTGCTGATCTTCATTTTTTTAAAATATAAACATTTATATTTGTTTTAGATGGGAAAATCTATGATGCATATGTCCTGTACGCAAAAAGCAGTGAAGGCAGAAGCTTCGATCGTCTGGAAACCTTTGTTCATAGAATACTCCCTGATGTTTTAGAACAGCAATGTGGGTATAGTCTCTTCATATTAGGAAGGAATGATTTACCAGGAGAAGGTATGCCTTAATTAGTAGTTAATAGGTTATCTTTTGACACATTGTTCTTGGGTTAGGATATCATGTATACAATTAAAAACCACCTGCTTTTGGAAAACAAATCTATATTTGTTTATTTTTAATGGACAATTTGTCCATTTGTCCAATGGATTTTTTAATTTTAATTTTTTTTTTTGTTTCTTACAAAAAATTCTGTTCTGACATTATGAAGGTCTGCACTTTCTTTTAGTGATGAACAAATGAGCATTCAGCAGCATTAATAATACTGTTGGGCTTCTTTGAATGATAACTGCTTCTGGGGACTGGAGAAAAAAATTTTTATCGGGAATTTCAAGCAATGGATTATGAATCAAGAATGACAGTTGGGAGATCTTAAACCTCTCAGTCCTCTGAGCTTGCCACTGCTCCATATATATGCATATATTTTACATCAGTTGTAAAGTTTCTGTGCAGACTTTGATTGCTCCTTCATTACTCACAGCTGTGGTCAGTGTTGCTGATGAAACCCTTAAGCAAAGCAGAAGGCTGATGATTATTCTGGCATCAGAAACATCTAGTTGCTGCCTGTTAGAAGACATCTCTGAACAACAACTAGCTATGTATAATGCTCTCATCCGTGATGGGATTCAAGTGATTCTTATAGAAATGGATGAAATACAGGACTACGCGGGCATGCCAGAATCAATCAAATACATTAAGCAAAGACATGGAGCTATCCAATGGAAAGGAGACTTCTCAGAGAAATCTTGTTCAGCAAATGCAAGATTCTGGAAAAATGTGCGCTATCGAATGCCATCCAGGAAAAAGCTCTCTTATTCTGAAGTGTATTTGTTGCCCCTAACTTCAAACAATTCTGCAGCAGAGGGAAGTTAAGATGCACTTATTAAAATAACACTGAGAAGGTAATTCTGAAATGTGGGGGGTTATTTACACAAATTATTTAAATTAAAAAGTAAACATTTTCTTCAAGGAGTAGAATCCACTCATTCCCTCCCCAAATTATATTCTAAAAGAAAAACTGTGCAGCTTCATTCCTGTTCTGGATTTTGGATACTGACACAATTTGTTGTGTTAATCTCACACAGATATGAGAAGCAAATGTTGTTGATGGTGGTAGACTGTTAAATAGTTGTGGTCCACACAAATGTAATATACATGGAAGAAGCAGCTGGTTTCTTTCTTTTTTATTTTTTTTTCAAATTGAAACTTACAGGCATTTTAGTTTTCTTGTGTGCAAATGAGTGTGGGAGAAAGGTTTCAGTTACTGTGGTTAATTGTTAGCTAACTACTTGAGTGTAGCATGACACTCGGTGACATATTCTTTTACCATGGGACTTTATTTTGAAGCTGAATTATGTCTGTTTTCTCTTCTTGGAAACTTTTTGTTGCAAGTCACTTAGGAAAATACAGTATTTTTTTGTGGTACAATAAAAGAAATCCCATAGAGGCAGATGTGCTGATTGCTCTTTATTTAAAAATAAGAAAATTCCACAAATGATTAGTTGGCTAGAGGGCTGCTTCTGGAAGCTTGTAGCTTCAGAAGGAAAAGGCAAATACAATGTAATCTGTGAAAAAACATTTGTTTTTTAATATAGCAGATATATGTCAGTTTATTGTCTCTCTGTGCTGACAGAGAAAACAGTCTTAATGGTGTGTGGTTTAAGATAAATTGAAAGCATTCTCTGCATCCATTTTTTACTTTTCAACCATAACTATTTAGTATTTATTCTGTTGACTTGTTCCTGTCAATTTATTTTGGCACTTCAGATTTCCCTTTCCTTTTCTTGCCTGATGATTAACTTGTCTCAAATTTTCCAATTCCATTGCATCTTTCTGTCCATACTATGAGGATATTTTTTTCTGGGAGACTTCCCTCCTTTCATAATTTTCCTCCCATATCCCACTTTCTTACCCGTATGTCAGCTAGTGCTGAGATATGGCCGGTTTCATGTTTTAATGTACATATCTCTGACTGTATTAATTCACAGATTGAGGCTTATGTGACAGGGAAGAGCACACGCTCCAAGCCCAGACTCAGAACAAGTTGTTACAGCCCGGTGGAGTCTACACGGTGGCCCCTAAGATGACAGCTCTGACAGACTATTTTTGTTTTTCTTTTAATTTACCTCTGTATTGCATCCTTGAAGGTAGAAGAGGACAAAGATGATCTCACATTGCCCCTTTATCTTGATGCCTTGAGCTTTTGCTAGAGGGGAAGCCCATTCTTCCTCTTGTTCACAGGCTATGGTAATTTAACTGCTATACCTCCTTCCATAGCAGCTTCAACTTGAAGGTGAAGCAGGCAGAATAAAGTTAATGTCTATAAAATCTGGACTAAGGAGAGATATTTTTCTCCTAGAAATACTTCAGGATATATTACATTGTAGAACTTCAAAATACATGTAAGTAAAATCAGTCGCTAGCAGCTTTACTCTGGAGTACTCCCACGTCTCTGGTTTACTCCTAGATGCTACAATGAATGAACACAGGAGCAATTCCTACACTCGCTACTCCCCTGCTGCAGCAGGAGAGTAAAGGCAAAGTACACAAATTGACGTGTATGCTTGTTCTCTTTCAAGATGGGATAATATTAACCAGGACTTGATGTGTTTGTTGAGACATTCTAAACATTAGTCACTAAAAGTGAGCTAGAAAGTAGTACAAACCACTTGTGTCCTCAGCCCACTCCGAGATTGCTTCCCATGTTAAAATGAATAGGAAAAAGGAATCTGATGTCTGCTGGGTATCAGGGGGCACAGTGAAAAAGTACGGCTCATGTGTGGCTTCCTCCGAGAGAGTGCTGGGCTTACTGTGGCATTGCAACTGGAGCTAGAGCTCTGCTTGGCAATGATGGTGACTATCAGGAGTTGGTATTTCACCCTGAAGAAAGGTAGAAAGCTCACCAAAGCTCACTTCTGCTCTAGAAAGGCTGATCTTAAATTGCTGCTCCAGATCAGGTAACTTAGATGTGTAAATTATTTTTCTGGTTCGTTTTGCCCCAGCCAGCAGAGCATCTCCCTTATGAGGAGCGGCTGAGGGAGCTGGGTCTCTTTAGCTTGGAGGAGACTGAGGGGAGACCTCATTCATGCTTATAAATTTGTAAAGGGCGAGTGTCAGGAGGAAGGAGCCAGGCTCTTCTCAGTGACAGCCAATGACAGGACAAGGGGCAATGGGAGCAAGCTGGAGCATAGGAGGTTCAATCTGAACATGAGGAAAAACTTTTTTACTGTGAGGGTGACAGAGCACTGGAACAGGCTGCCCAGGGAGGTTGTGGAGTCTCCTCTGGAGACATTCAAAACTCGCCTGGACGCGTTCCTGTGTAACGTCATCTAGGTGATCCTGCTCTGACAGGGGGGTTGGACTGAATGATCTTTCAAGGTCCCTTCCAACTCCTAATATTCTGTGATTCTGTGTGTGATTCTGCGATCTTGCCTTATTTTATATTTTTTTAATACAGCGGTAACTGTAGTAGAAGGGGAATTTTGAAAACTGTCTCATTAGATCTTTTTTTGCACTGCGCAATTTTCCTGATGGGCATTACTTCTGTTGGCAGTTATTAAAATAGATGTTCTCTCTCCCCTTTATCTCACCAGTGATGTGCACGAGGGGAGCGCTTCCTTTTCTACACTGTCCATAGTAACACACCCCAGTGCTGCCTCATCTCTCCTCCACTCTCTAATGCTGATTTTGATCTTTTACACTTTCTTGCTCAATAGATGTACTGTGAAAATATACAAATTCCCTGTAAGATGGGGAGGACCACATTCAAGTCCTTAAGATATTTTTTTCTCTCTTTGAGCACATTGTTCCTAATACTCATACTGTTTGTTTGTTTCTTTACTAATTTGGGTTTTTTTTTTCTATTTTTCAAATATTCATAACTATTTCTTCTGTGCTGTGGAAGTGGGTGACTTGGACAAGCAGTTGGAGTCGGAAAGAAATTTTGGTTGTCTACTCTTATTCTAGAAGCACACAGACCCACTGTATCAACTAGATCTGTAGTTTCTGGTTAAGTTGTGCCATAACCACCTAATTTCAAATGAAGCATAGGAGAAGTGGCAGGACAAATGCATCTTTGTAGGAGTAAAAAAGTTACAGATAGGTAAAGGATGTTATAAATTCCCACATTTCTGAAATGGTGAATAAGCAGGATGTTCAGAAGTCACAAGAAATGATATTAATCTATCCCATTAAAACAGAAAAGAAATGGTAGTTAACTCCCTACATATTGCCTACAGGAACAAATAATGAAAAAGCTAAAGAGCTGTCTTGACAGGGACATTCACAGTGAGAAAGAACGTGAGAGCCATATGTCCTCCTGCCATCTGTATATGCTCTCTTCTGGGTCGTGACATCTGGTTCTGCTTGATATCTGGCTCCGAATCCTGTATTTCTGGAGTAAACAGGACTTGATTCTCCTCAGAGATTGAAAAGAATAGAACACATGCAGACTTCTGCAAGAAAAGCCAAGTTTTTAATAAAAACCTGTCTTCTCAGCCTAGATCTGAATGGCTTGGTACACAGATGCATTTAAATGAGCCAAGCATGTGTCAGCAGCATCTGCTGCCTGTTTTTAAAAACTGTGAACTTTGGTGTGTTTGGCATTGTTGAACAAATAGTTGGTACCTAATTTAGGAGATGAACTAGCTTATTTTGGAGGAAAGGGCCACTTCCAAGAGGGTAAACAACTGAGGATGGGAAAAGACCGGGGTGCCAGGTTGAGGGGGGGTGAGGGAGGAATCACATCTGCCATAGGAAGCGTCTGTGGGGATCCCACCACCCCGCAGCAGCCTACGGCACTGGAGTTGTGTTGTGCAACACCTCCCCCTGGTGATGCGGAAGCACAGGATGGGATGAAGCTCCCCGTTTTTGAAAGAAAACCCACTCTGTTTACATACAATCATAATAAAGTTCTGTTGCTAATAATGCCAAGCCACAACACTAAAAAAACCCCAACAAACCAAAACAAAAGCTAACCAAAAACTCATCACCGAAAGAGAGTCAAAAAAAGAACATGTTCTGAGTTAGGCTGTAATTGTTATTTTTAGTGGTTTCCCCATCTTTTTTAGCAACCAGCAGGGAATATAGTGGAAAATGAGATTTTTTTGCCTTTGTGCCTGTACATCTGTTAATTTAGTACCTCAGAATTAATTGGGAAATGGGGAAGAATTACCCTCTGTAGAGCTGTGTCTCTTTATCAGCCTCCAGCATATGTCAGCTAGATCTGACTGCTTTGTGTTGAGCAACACTTCTCATTGCTTACCGCAAGAAAAGACTACAATTGGAGACCACCTCATCTGGGATCTGAGTTCCAGCAGATCATCTGCGTGTGATGGCTGGAAGACCATTACCAACTGTGTGCTCCCTCAGCAATTGAGGGTCCCACAGCACATTTGACATAGCGAACTATGGAGAAGTTGTGCCTAATTTAATTATCTAGCCCACTGAGCTGAGCACAAATGGATGCAGCGGTAACATGGTGAGAAAATCTTGGAGTCTGGAATGCTGAAGTGTTTGCAGGACCCTGGTTTGCACATAGATGGTAGGCAAGATTCAGTGGTCCTGGAGTTAGTTGAGTGCATCATGAAGGCCATCCAAAACAGACATCACAATGTTCCTGGAAACAGGAAGCATGGCTAGTTCTCCCTGGCTCTGAAGATATGGGAATCTAATTTCACAGACAATCTCAAGGGACCTAGCAAACTCTCTTTTCACTGCTGCCTTTTTTTTTTTTTTAATCTACAGCCATATGATTTCTAAGTTGAGGACAGTTTGCAAAACAGAAGTGATTGGGTGATTTCAAAGCCTGTCTAGACTCTTTGCCAAAATCTATGGGGAGCAAATTTTTTTACTTGGATTCATAACTGCTTTATTAATGATAATGACAAGGATAATAATAATAGAAT